TTAAATATAAAGGATCTTTTCTGGGGTAAAGAAAACTACAATTCAAACAATTTAGATGAAACAAACTAGTGAAAACATCATTATTCAGCATTAAATTTCTGCCATTAGATTCTTTCACCTGAATCTGACACACTGGACCTTTAACCGCGGCGTCTTCAGGTCCAACAGCACCAGGCGCTCAGCAGGGACCCCAGCAGGGCCAGGATGGGCGTCGCCATGGTAACGGAAGGGCTGGAGTTGCACAGGTTGCTGCTGCAGCAGCGGTAAGTGAAGCTGGAGATGGACGGGAACATCAAGGAGAGCTGCGAGAAGTTGCAGTCTGTGTATTTGATGCACTGACGGATGGTCTTCCCACCTGGACACAAAGAACACAAACACACACATATGTATATGTTTTAATTGACGACTTAATCATCACTAATTGGTCTGGCTCCTGTCACATGACCCCTGAAGCATCAGCTGGACACTCACTGTGTCACATGACCCTGTTGTCTTTGTTAACAGCTGTCAGTTCAATTCTCTATCTCACTCTGATACAGCCATTCACATGTGGAGGAGAACATGTGTTGTTCAATCTGTTTACACCGGCACACGCATGACCAGTGCATGTGAGTGGTCACATGATCTGTGTTTGTGTGGGCGGGATTAGTGTTAGTGTGGGCGGGATTAAAACTGATACGGAACACAGATATGTTTGAAATTAAGAACGTATTTAATGTATTTGTGTTTGTGTGGATGTAGCTACATTCGTTTTTTAAATCCTCACTAACATCAACTGAGAACTGGAATCAGAGAAATGAGCCGAGTGAGAATCTTTAAGAAAAACTTCAAACATCTGCTTCAAGTTTTATTCACAACGTTTAATCTTCATGTGACCTTGAACCTAACTGTGTTGTGTGTGAAACATCAAGTCTGTTGGACGACTGGAGGCCATGTTGTTTTAAATGATTCTTAATCATTATGAACACTGACCTTTTTCATCCAGAGAAATACACGAGTCCTCATTCGTGCACTCCTGGACGTTCTGACAGCGTCCGGTGTAATCTGAACATTTGTAGCAGCGAAGTCCAGATCCTGCAGAAGAAGAAACTGGTTTAACTTTCATCAGCTCGACGGACGGAGATCAACAATCAACAGGTTTCATTTTTAGTTTTTTATAACTTTGTTCAATAAATCAACATTTACAGAATAAA